TTATCGTGTGTCTCCTGCGCGCGCCCCTGGAGTTACGGCGTGTGACCTTGACGTGGCAGTCTGCATGTTCGTAGAAAACTGGGCTCTGCGGAGCCGGAAGCTCAGGACAATAAAGTAATTGATCCTATGCTCGATTCGTCTCCTTCCTTATCCAAACAAATCTTGGTGTTTTCGGTATTTCCGTTGTTCTTAAGAAAATTGTGATTTTTTAACTAAGTTCAGCGATTATATTCACGCGAGCATTCAAGAAGTGAAGTTAGGCGAACGAACCTCTTCGACTATTCATTATTAGGCAAATACAACAACATACGGGAGGGCAGTCAACAAAATTTTAGGCAACCAAGCCTCCCCAGGCCACCCAAGTCGGCACGAGACGATGACACCTTACATCCTCACCCCCAACACAAGACGATATGAACTAATGGTAGGACCACTCCCTCCCCCTCGCTGGTCCCTAATTATGACTATAATCTGACCCCTTAACACCTCCCCTTCTTATTACTACTGATTGGTTGCTTTACCGTTTGCTACCTCTACCCCCCTTTTTATTACTGTATTCGCCTGATGAGGAATAATTGAAAACGTTCGTCCGCTTAACTTGACTTCCTGAAATTTTAACTAATTTCGTATCCAGCCGTTTGGACACGTCCTTGCGTCTAGGACACGGTTAAAGCCTGCAGCCGACTGAGTGGGATCTCTTCAACCGAGAGGTAAGTGGCGATGAAGCGAATTGCCATCAAGCCACAAACTAGCAGACTATGATTTGAGGTACGATAACTTCACGACGGGGAACAAAGCCTGCCCGAAAGCATGCGTCACAGAAGGCACTCTTGTGTACGGGTACACTTTCCAGTTTTAACCATGGTGTTCACCTGTTGCATGTCAGGTTTTGTTTCGAAGGAAAATATATAACGAAGCATCAGAAGATAGCGTAGACAACAGAAAAAAAAATGAAGACCCCATTACAGTCCACGTGGTCTTACGCTAGTGACCTGTTACTCACGACAAACATCAAAGTTTACTATTAGGAGTTGGCAGATTTGTATAATTCAGTCATGAAAAACTAGTCGCTTCAGTGGAATTCGAACCCACGTCAGCAGAGAAGGTTGTAAAACAGCCAACGCTCTACCAACAGAGCTATGAAGACACGCCGAAAACCTTGAATTTAATCACGGTTGGGTCGATTAACCCGCGCAGCCTCCTGCACGGGTGGAATCCCCTAATAATTAAGGAAGCCTAGGAGTCATTCTGGTGGATTCTAGATTGATGTATTAGGAAATCCTGTGGTAGGAGTTTCCTTGGTAGTGGCGGAACAAAACTCCACATTTCCAGGTTTGTCGACAGCAATTCGAGGTCGATTTGAGCACGATTAGGGTTAGGATAAGTGTTAGGGGTTAGGATTATGGTTAGGATAAGGGTTAGTGTTAGGTTCCGTGTGGGATAGAGATATCTTATGTAAA